TGCTTTTGTATTTAGCAAAAGGCCATCAAACGAGGCACTTGCTGTTTGCGCCTGCTAACCATAATTCTGATTAGATCAAATCCGGCAGCTGACCCCCAGGCTGCCAGGGCCAACAGAAACTTGCTTATTCGATGAGGGCCTGCTCCATTTCCCGATTACCAGCATCACTTGGGCTTTCTCTCCCCCAGCTGCAAAGCTGCTTGAATTTGGTCATCTTCAGTGGTTGCACTCACATGAGAACATGGATTACTTTGCCACCCTGCCTGCCTCTCTCCACCCGCTGAAGAGCAAGCAGAATGATGTGCATGTGTCTCTCTTGAGTTTCCAGGCTGCAGGTTGGGCTGCAGAGGCGAGTATTGGGGCTCACTGGGGCTTTAAGACAAGCTCTGTAGGCAGACAGTCCTGTTGGCCTTCACTCGGCTGCCCGGGGTGACCTCTTGACAGTGTCTGAATTCCAAATTGATTTCCTACCCAGAGGCCAGACAGGATGAACAATTGTCCAAATTCACTGGAGACTAAGCCCTTCCCACCCCTCAACACAGGCGCTAAGATGGACAGGGCTGGTTACCTTGTGTCTGCTGCAGCAGGACCCTGAGGCGGTACCACAGGGTTCAACATTTCCTGGGTGAATCAGTCTGTAATCTGGGGCAGAGGCATTGTAGCTCCGTCTTACACTGTCAGGTGTAAAGTTTAAACACATCCCTTCACTGGTCTGCATCTTAATTTCCTTTTAATCTCTATGTCAGGATAAAGCTGTATTCTGTGACATCGGCTGAGATAAGGGTGGTGCCAAGGAGGAATGGTTGGCTATAGGTAATCCTTTCGAACAGCGTACATCATCCTTAAATTATTCTTCCCAATTAACAAAAAGAAAATTCAAGTATTTATCATGTAACAGGCACCACGGACAATTCAGGCATACATCTTATTTACTTCCAGCCCTTACAGAACTTACGACCCTGAGGTATAGACAGGTACAAATACAATTAACTACATTTGCTCTGAGGCTACCCAAGGAATCATGAGGGTGGATGAAAGGCCCTGAGAGCCAGGGAAGGAGAAAGTAGGGTCATTTACTGAGTGCTAACCCCTTATTAGCTAACATTTCTTAAGTACGTACTATGCACCTAATCTATTTAATTTTTGCAATTCCATTATGTTTTTACTCCACAGGATGAGGAAAATGGTGGTTTGAAAAATGATGTATCTTTTCATGGTTGCCACTCAGTAAGTGAAGGTCTGGGGTTTGAACCCTGGGGTTGAGTCTTACGCTGGCTGTGTGTGATACTGAGTCTCCTACCCTGGTGGGAGCCTCCTGATAACCCACCTGCCAAATGCTCAGTCGGCACTACTCCAGTGCAACCAGATGAGCCCTCACACAGAAGACTGCAGCTGGACTGAGGCATGGAGGGGGCCAGGTGAGGCTCCACACTCCACACTGTAGAATTCCAAGCAGGACTCCAGGGATGCTCCACCGATGGCGAGGAGCTTCTGGGAAGGCTGCTGTTTCAGAGAAAACTAGCTGAACAATCTCTGCCCTCCGGCCTCTAGTCACATGACACAATGAAGAACCCAAGACCAGAATCTGAAGGCAAATTCATCCTCTAGGGGCAAAGTGACATATTCATTATTGAATATTTTCTAGACTGTGTTGTAAGTTTCCTTTAAACTTATCTCTCTTAGGTGATAGCTGAACAATTTGCTTTGGGCATGTGGAATATTCAGCTGGAATATACAAAGTAAAAATACATCCACTGTGGGCCAAGGAGATGGCCCAAAGTAAGAAAGTACTTTACAAACGTAGATGTATTCGTTTGATATGCTAGCTCTGAGTGCAATATGCACTTTGCAACATTAGGCGGAGAGTTAGATATTCTAGCAACACTGACACAACGTCAGCAGTGCCAGTCCGCACGTGCAACAGTCTCAGCGACTCTGGACACACCAAGCATCTGAGCCTGCCACCATGCAAGTGCTGTGGGTTTTTGAAAGTGCCTTATCCTATGTGCGTGGAGGGTTTCCCTGCAGACATGTCTGTGCACCATATGCATATCCAGTGCTGGCAAAAGCCAGAAGAGGTTGTTGAGTTTCCTGGAACTGGAGTTACAGACAGCTGTGAGCTGCCAGGGAGGCGCTGAGAATCAAGGTGTGGGCCTCTGGAAGAGCAGTCAGTGCTCTGGGCAGCTGTTCAACTGTTCATCTCTCCAACCCCTGTTCTTGAGACAGGGCTCTCTCTGTGAAGCTCTCACTGGCCTGGAACTGTCCAGGTAGATCAGGTTAGACTCAGAATTGCACCAATCCTCCTGAGTTTGCCTCCCGGAGTGTTGGGATTATAGGCATGTGTCGCCATGCTTGGTCATCATGTAACCATTAACCTCAGAAACCTCCACATTTTCTAATCCTGTGATTTACAGGTTTGAGTCTGTGTAAACAAGCAAACACATAATTTCACGTAATTATTTTAAAACTTCTTGTTACTGCTACTACTTATTACAATTAATTTTCCTGTCACCATACTTAACAAAATGTAAACGCGGGAAGAAAACAATTTTAAGTACAAGTTAAAGAAGCACAAGCCTTGGGGTGGGGAACCCAAGGCTTCTCCTGTCATTTCCAGTGTTAACAATCCCTGGCTAGGATAATCATGTCTTCCCCCTCCCCAACCCCTACAGAAACTCATTGTAGAAGACTGGCTTGTTCAGGGCCTGGCTGAGAGGCCAGGACTGCAAGGCAGCTCCTGGCACTACCAGGTGCTCCAGCTCCTTCAGCACACTAACAACACAACTGAGAGGTTTTTGCTAGTGAAGCAAGGCTTTCTCTCCCGCTGGTTTGCCCCAGCTTTACCCTACAATAGCCCTCATGCTTCTGTGCACAAAGAAGAACTTGACAGGCAGCCCTATCCATCTTGTTTATGCAAAACTGAAAGTGTGTCTGGTGGCCTCTGGGGACCCTGGTCCCGTCTACGTGGGCGTGGCTCCCAATAGGAACTGAGCTCCAAGGCCCAGCAGCAGTCTTTCCTATCTCTTTGTAACAAGGCCCCTCTCTTTCTACTGTCCTTGACATTTTCTGAGATTAGCTTTATCAGCTGTGTCCAGGGTTTACACTCTGGAGTTTTTTGTACAGCCTTTTTCTCTTGCCATGGTTATTTACGCTCAGCAGTCTACACTGAGCAACTAGCAAACCCGCCGTTTATGACTTTTAGTTGCTTTCCACGTAAGTCTACGATGAGGCTCAGCAATAACTTGGTGGCAGCCCCCAGAAGCTTTCTAGGAGCCCAGTGTGGAAGAAAATGAAGAAGAGCACCTGTTCTTTACCCAGTGTTGTGAGAGACTTTTCACCTGTGTGCAAAGGAAACTGCTGTGCATTCCAGGGTGCAATTGTAGACCACGGAGTAAACTCCTAAAGGTAACATAAGATTCAACAACATCTCGTTTAATGATACAGCACAGCATCTGTGTAACTAATACACTTTTATTTATATTTATTCATTGTGCATTTTGCTTCCTTAACACCTGGGAACTTGCTGACCCTGGGAGCAAAATGTCCCCAACCCCCACCCCACGGCAGCGAGTTAAGACTTGACGTGGCAAACTGTGTTTGTACACAGCCAATATAAGCCAGGCAGTCCAGGGCCCACGGCCAACCGCCTTCCCCATTAGGCTGTCAGACAAAGACCGTGGGACAAGGTGAGGGATGGCTAGAGCAGCCTGAGCGCCTCAAGCCTGCTGAGTCCCTAAGGGAGTCCATCCAATGCCCATTTCTCTGTCCCCTCTAGTTCCTCCCCCATCGGTTGCTTCTCCACACAGCTGGGCTCAGCTCTTGTTGTGGGGATATGTGAATAGGACACAGTATTTTGTCAGTGGTAGTCATGTGAGCTGTTGACCTCAGGTACCCGAATAATAACAAAACATGATTTCAAACGTGCGGTCAAAGAAAGACAGGTGAGAGCAGAGAAGACACCCTGCCTCTGTATTTTGGTCACTATTCAAAAAGACTTGGGATAAAACTTACTTTGCCAACTATATTTAGAATAACTACACTTTAACTCTTTCAAGGAAAAAAAGGCTGATTTTAATAGAAAGCAGTGTGTGGCACTGGGTAAACAGGTACCCAGCAGCACTGGGGACAGCGGCAAGGCAGGCACCCTCATCAAGGTGAACCTGTTAGAACCGTCTTGTGGGTCCTTGGCTTCTCAAGCACATACTAAAGCCAACAGGGACTTATAAAGCAAATAGACGCAGGGGATGGAGGGGCGCACAGTGGCCAAGAGCACCTGCTTTTATTTTTGGAGGACTCGGGTTCCATGCCCAGCACCTGCATGGCAGCTTACACGCATCTGTAACTCCAGTCCTAGGGCATTTGAGACCTTCTTCTGGCCTCCACATGCAGACGGTACACAAGCATATGTACAGGCAACACACACATAAAATAAAGATAAGTAATCTCTTTTTAAAACAACAAAGTAAAAGCAGACCCCACTGCCCTGTATAAGAAAGGTAGGGCTTAATCTCAAGCGTTCTGGACTCTGCTACACTCACAATGGCTTCACCCCAGGGGATTCAGTATATAGAGCACAGTGCCCAAGACACCAAGCTCTTCCTTAGGGCTTCTCTCTGCGCCAGAGGAAGCTTCACTTGACTTTGTGTGCCTAGCAGCCGACATACAGTGAGTGCTAAGAGCGCGTCTCCTGATTACGGGGATAAATGTTTCTGACCATCGCGGACTAATGGTGATAGATCAGAGAAGTGTCTCTAAGAAACTGAGTAAATGACCTCAGAGTCGAGCTTCCCCAGCCCAAACCATCACAGAGGAATCATGTCACCACGTCATGTCACCTCCTGAGAGCAACGTAAGAGCCTGATCTGGTGGAGGTGGATATTCGGCCGCACCCTGGCCTTCGCTGACCACTGCACTGCACCGCTTCTGCAGTTCCCTCCTGACCGCTAGAGGGCGCTTTCCGTGGAGCCCGCAGTGTCCGGAGACACTGCTGAGCCGCTTACCAAGGGCTCCAGCTCCTTCCGGTCTATGAGGTTCATCTCCGTGACGAAGTAGTAGAAGTGCTTGTAGCAGGTGTTGACGTGAGCCTCTGCACCCATCACAATGACGCGGTCAAAGTGGTGGATGTAGACGTGGACGAAGACCCGGAAAAGGCGGCAAAGGATCTTCTTGCAGATCTGAAGGAAGTTCTTTGGGAAGGGAACACCTGGAGAACAAAGAGAACAGTATGACGCCACTGAGAAGGGTCGTTTCCTCTTCTAAGTTAAGACTAAACGGCAGGAGGATGCTGCGGTGGGGGTGGGGACCTGGTACTCCTCCTCACACACGAAAAAACACCGTCCCACTTCCGGGTCCAAGGCACCAGCCACCGGTGGGCAGCGGCCATGGAGGCTCAGGGTCAGCACAACTTTGGATTTCTCCAGGTAACTTCAGATATCTGGAGAATTGTGTAAACCTGCTGCCTTGAAAGGGGTTAACAGTTAAGGTGTACTCCTTTAATCCCAGCTTCAGGGAGCCAGAGGCAGGCAGATCGCTGTGAGTTCCAGGCCAGCCTGATCCACAATGCGAGTCCTGGACAGCCAGGACTACACAGAGTAAACCTGTCTTGAAACAAAACAAAACCCCCAAAAGAAAAAAGAAAGGTTAACAATGAATTTGAAGTTTTGAAAAATTCCTTCTGCTAAAACAAAACACCTCTCTACATTAGACTCAGCCCACAAAGCTACCCACTTGCAAATTTTGATTGAAAGCATTTCCCAGTGTTGTCTCCAAGGTGGGCAAATTAGACTCCATTTGCCCCACTCATTTCGATCCATCTCTTTGAGACAGGTAGGCGTTGAGGGGGTGTGTTTTCATGACAAGGAAAGGGCAGGCAGCTGAGAGAGTCACCCGGATTTCCTGTCTGATGGTCACAATTCCCAGCTGGGTCCAAGCATCAAGCATCAAGCCCACGGCTCCTCTCTGCCTCTGAAAAGCTACTTAAAACTCTTGATACTTACCCCGGCTTTAATAGGAAGCCAGCTGTAATGGATTTCAAAGTTAAACAGACTGTGCTTGAATTCCTGCTCTGCCCCTGTCCCAGCTGTATGACCAGGACCAGTTATTTAACCTTTGGTCTTTCACCTGAAAAGGAGGGGTCAGCGCAAGGCTTTCCCTGCGGTGGGGAGGGTATGACAATGTGTTAGATCCTCTCATGGTGCCTAGAATGCAGCAGGAGCTCACACACGGGGCTGGCCCCAGCTCTCTGCACTGTTTAGTCAGAAGCATGTGGCCACTGGGAAGAGGGAAACTTCCTTGTCCAGAAAAGACGTGTATAAGCACCGTCTTTCACCACACTGGACAGTGGTGGTCGTGGACGTGTGCCAGGTCCTCAGAAGCTTGCTGCTCCTAGCTCTACAGGGACCTGGGGCAGTTATCCGCTCTGAGCTGTTCTGTCAGGGGAATCTCCTGGTATCCTTTCCCCTCCAGGGCAGAAGAGGAGGGATGGAATATGTCTGCCAGTTGGCTGTGATGGGATTTGCCTCTCCAGGGCCTTGCATGAACACCAGCTTTTCTTAAGAGTTAAAGCCAACACAGTGAACAAACCCAGGGTGCAGCACAGTGATGGCTGAACGATGGGGAACGGGTGCTGGGCTCTAGGGGTGAGGTAAACCAGCGGGAAGACACGGTGGGGGCAGCCACTAAAATTCTTTTGGGCTTTCTCTGGTAAAAGAGCCAATGAACCACCACTGAATGTTGAGGGAGGGCCCAGACTCTCCTCCAAGAAGCCTGAGAGTCCTACACATCTTGCCTGCACTCCCTCTAAGACAAGTGAGGTGAGCTGCAGAAGGCTGAATCTTACAGCTTGGCTGTGAAGTAGTCTTGTTACTCCCATTTCACAGATGAGGAACACAGAAGCTCCGAAGCATGGGCTTCAGAGTTTTACACAGCAGTTAAGAGCCAGGATTTCAAATAAATAAGCCAAATTTTATAACCTACAGTACAAGGTACCTTTGCAGTTTGACTCACCTTTGGGCCTGGGTTAGAGCTACCACTCAACTGAAATTTACTCTTCAATAGCACAGGGGCAAAAACAAGCAAGTGAAGGGTGATGGAGAGAGACAGGCAAAAAGAAACAAGTCCACAAGATCAGATGCATCCCCAGGAAGAGGTCAGCTACCTGGTACTCAGCTGCCAATGGGGAGAAAAGCACTTTTCGTGCTCAGGCCTACAGACCATGGACCTGGGATGAAGGGTGAGAGCTGAGCTGGGATGAAGGGTGAGAGCTGAGCACTTACTGTATTTCAGAGACAGGGCTTTATGTAGACCAGCTGACTGAATCTGTGGAGTAGCCCTTACCGAACTGTTTTTATTTCAAAGATGAATAAATAACTGTAAGTACGTAGCTACCCCACATAACGAGTTGACAAACAGAAGAAGGATTTAGACCTCACTCGTCTGATTCTAAAGCTAAGTGCATCCAGCATGCTGAAGCCCTGCAATGCGGAGGTAGGGCAGTCTGCAGCCCTCCAGGAGCTCGTTCTGTCTCTTCTGAGGAGAAGACACTCTCCAGCATCTTCATCTTTCATCCCTCTGGATCTAGTCTGGAGGAAGTTCATCATCAGCTGTCAGGGGACATGATGGATTCTAGCTGCCACATTCTGTTATTCTTACAGCTCAGTCCCCATCCTCCACATGCTAGCTTCAGAGGAGGTAAAGTCTAGTCCTACACCATCCTCAAAGATGCTAATCTAAGTTCATCAGGTAGGACCCAGGCTCAGAATCTTTTAGTTTTGGCTGCAAAGTCAGGCCAGATTTTCACCCTTTCTTTCTTCCTGTCTTTCTTTCTTTTCTTTTTTCTTTCTTCTTCCTTTCTCTCTCTCTCTCTCTCTTTCTTTCTTTCTTTCTTTCTTTCTTTCTTTCTTTCTTTCTTTCTTTCTTTCTCTTTCTTCTTTTCTTTTCTTTTCTTTTTCTTTATTTTCATTCCAGCAGCAGGAAGAATGAAAGGTTACCAGATTATCAAATGGATGCCATCTAGCAACAATGTCAGCCTACATACAAGGGGACTGAGTTGGCTGGGTTTGACAGAGAAGAGTCCACATGGTCTGCAAGGGCATCACTATGCCCTCATTAGGACCAGGCCAACCTGCTCCTTTTGAGTCTTAGACATCTCTTGTATATGTAAGATCCACGGTCCCTGTGTTTTAGGATTTCTCCAGATATATTTCTAAAACCACCAATCCTAGGAGATTGTTAGCAGAAAAGAAGCTTATGAAGTCAATTATATTTGCTAAAAGTACTGTTTTCATAGGCTTACAATATGTCTAAGCATAGTGAAGATTTAAGAATACATGTGGCAAAAAGTCTATGAGACTCTGGAAGCCCCCTTTCCTTATAATACCCACTCATATTGCCTATAGTTGGTCAGCAGAACTTCCAGGTGTCATTTCTGTATTGCCACCTAACAACACAATTGCCATATACAAATGGCCTACCTGCTCTAAACTTCAGTCACCTCATCCAGAAACACAAGGATATGTTAATACTATCTTCAGTTTAAGACACAGTTGGGAGGATTAAATGCAAATGCATATGAAAATTTTCATTGCTGTCTTGTAGACAGCAAGCACTATATTGTGAAACGTTTCTGCGTAACAAACTGTTTGCACTTTGTGACGTACCTGAGACTGAATTCTTATTGCATGTTTATTTTCAGGAAGGCCATTATGGTACCAACATAGACGGTGCTTAACTTGGAAGAACTGAGCTAACCGCTGCATTACAGCCCACCTCGCATATTTCCCATAAGCGTTTTAGTGTATGCCTTGCACTGAGGTTAGTTCTATGAACAGAGGCAACCATTCATACTTTAGTTCTACTTTCAAAAAGTATCTGAGACAAGTGAGGAAGGGAACACATCATCAATCAAAACTGATTGAGGAAGGACGGTAGTCTTGTTTCAGTAATGTGGGAAGCCAGCACATGCCTGGGAGAGAGGGAAAGCCCCCAGCAGAAGCGAGAGCTTTTGACAGTCCTCATATCTTCTCCACATGGGATGCTGCCTGCTGCTATTAGAAGGGAGGAGAACTTTGTAATGAAGAACAGGTTTATCTAGCCTGCAGGGTAGGAGGAAAGACTCGGAAACTCCTTTTCCTTCATCAAGAAATCTGTTGTTCTTTCAGTTTAGGTTTCCAGGTTGTTAAAGATAAGCTTCAGTCATTGCACTCCATCAGAGAGTTCTGCACTCCAGTATTAACCAGCAATTTACTGCTGCTCACTGCAGTAACCACAGCAGTAACCACAGTCCTCCCTGCTGCTCACTGCAGTAACCACAGCGCTCACTGCTGCACACTGCAGTAACCACAGCGCTCACTGCTGCTCACTGCAGTAACCACAGTGCTCACTGCTGCTCACTGCAGTAACCACAGCAGTAACCACAGCGCTCACTGCTGCTCACTGCAGTAACCACAGTGCTCACTGCTGCACACTGCAGTAACCACAGCGCTCCCTGCTGCTCACTGCAGTAACCACAGTGCTCACTGCTGCACACTGCACTAACCACAGTGCTCCCTGCTGCACACTGCAGTAACCACAGTGCTCCCTGCTGCTCACTGCAGCAACCACAGCGCT